TTTCATCAAAGATTGTCCTCTCCTCAAACAAGATCAGTACAAATACAACACAGACAAAGTAGCCAAGAGGAACCCGGTTCCTGACAAAAGATTCAATAGAAAAGACGTCACTGACAATGTTGTGAAACAGGCTCTTGCTGCATGGGGAGACTCTTCTAGCGTATCCGGAGAAGATGATGGGCAAGGTGAAATCTCCACGATGGAAGTAGAAAGTGAAGCAGCTGATTATGACTCCTTGCTCTAATGGCTAAATCAGATGAGGATGAGGAAGATGACGATGAAGATGAGGTAAATCTTCTAGATTTTCAAAGAAATTTAAAATCCTATTCTCAAAAGAAGCTTATATCCTTGGCTAATTTTTTAATTGATGCATATCACAGTTTCATCAATGATAAAAATGCGCTAACCACGGAACTATGAGAAATAGAACACGAGAGAAATAATCTAGTGGTGGTTGTGGTTGATCTAAAAGAGGCCAATGTGAGTTTAAAAAGGGAAAATGATATATCTGGACTGATAGAATTTCAAACATAGAGCATGAGAGAGATGACCTATTGGTAGTAGTTGTAGACCTAAAGGAAATAATTGGGGAACTAAGAAGGGAAAGTAGGCTTGTGAACACTCAAAAGGGAAAGGAAGTTGCAATGAGGCACACCTTAGGCTTGAAAATGAGCTAAAATCAGTGTCTAATCTGTGTGCTGAGCTTGAGAAAAACAGACAACTTCAATAAGATCTAGGCAGAGTGAAGAATGACTTAGAAAAATCTCTTAAGTGGACCTGGTCCTTAGATGCAATCACTACTATGTATAAGAACAATGGGGGAAACAGGCAAGGAATCAAATTCCAAAAAGAAAACCCCCCTATAATCCGCATAGCAAGTACGTTACTGTACCTAATAACTGACTTTGCACTCACTGTGGTAACACTAGACATTTCAAGGAAACATGTAAAGCCAGATTCCAGTCCCAACAGAAAAATAAAGTTTTTGCTTAAAAAGTAACTACTGCTAAAGAACCCGGTCCCTCATATAAATGTCGACCTCAGGAAACAGGTTGAGGACCTAAAGGAGAGACTGCTCAACGAGCAGCTGTCAGCTAATTCTAGAATGGACATCCTTCTTAGAACCCTTGCCTCTTCATCTGGGCCTTCTCCTTCTAGTGCTCCCTAAACAGTGTCCCTTTCCCAAGTGTCAAGTCCTGATGATGTTTATTGCTGGTACTCTTGTTTTTGTTGTTTTTATTTTGTGAATGTGTTGGCAACAATGGAACTAGTCCCTGCTTAAATATCCAAATATTAATAAAAGCTTCTTCCTTTTGATGTGTATGCATTGCTCTTATGCTCTGTTTTTAGTCATGTTTGTGTGCACATATGTGGCATGAGTCAAATAAGCTGGACTTCTTTTTTCTTAATGCTTGCTACTGATCTTTTTATGATGCCAAAAGGGGGGGGGGGGATAATTGAGGTGGAACAAGATGGGGAACAAATTCAGGGGGAATACAGGAAATGCGAATGTTATTCTGGCTCTTAGGGGGAGCTTGAATTATAAGTTTGTCATCATAAAAAAGGGGTAAATTGATAGGTTATATATGTATCCTTGTTATGTTTTGATTATCTAACAAACTTACTGTTAAAGAACCAGATAACCTGTTACATATCCTCAAGATCTTAAGATCAACAAGTCTCTAGTTGGGAACACTATCCAACTCTTTAGAGTCAAAAGAACAACAGAGGGAACATATAGCTACTAGTTCCAGTGGTGACTGTACAAGTCAACACTTCCCAGCTGTAAAGTTGCTGCCTGCACACGCTACAGTGCAGAAATAATGCAGCTGTCAACTTTATGGGGAATGTTCTTTGCCTAGCTTGCTTACATCATTCAAGCGATGTCACAAATGAATTATTAACATCAAGCAAGGCAAAAACAAATCACTTGCACATTCATGAACTCATCAAGCGTTCTCTCAAGTCTGTGTCAATCTTGCAAGTGATTTTCAAGGGCATCAAGAACGAAGAACAACATAACCAAGGACCAGTTTCATGTATTGAAAAGTTACATGTCCTTAGTTGGGTTGTACCTTTGTTAAAGCACTTTACTTGTAATTCCTACTTAGCTTAGTTAGAAGCATTGTGTAGGAAACTTCTGTAAATCATAAACCTGTGTGTTTGCGTCTTGGCTAGAGTTAGTCGAGTTGTAAACCTTTTTAATAGATTTATTACAAAGTGACTTGTAATATAGTTGTTACAAGTTAGTGAGAGATTAAGATGTTAATTCCTAGGTTACAATAGGTTGTAATCGGAAGTTTGCTTAGTAGTGAAGTTGAAATCCTACAAGGGTAGGTCGTGGTTTTAATCCGTAAGCTAGTAGTTTTCCACGTAAAACTCCATTGTGTCATTTACTTACCGCAGTATGAGTGTGTTCTGTGGGAACTAGTAGAGGACCTGGTTCTCTATATAGTTTGGTGGACCCTTAGTTTCTATCAATTCATCACGGTGTGAACGAAATATCCTTAAGGACAATTGTCCTAAACACGCATCAAGCTAAATATTATTCTCCATAATCCAATATATTTCCAACAATTAGACGAAGGTAAAAACTTACCATAGATGAATGAGAGTGAAAAATGAAACTTGCATTTAAACACTGGATAAACACTGAATAACCTTGCTTAGGCATTATGCAGAGTCTTCTTGACGGTAAATGACTGAGAAGAAGGAAATGATCAACTTGCTGCTCCTCAGATATAGCTATGAACTATTTGTTAAGAAATTAATTATTTAAGCCATCCACCCTACAATTTTCTTATTATTTTCTACACCTCCAAATCCGTAGGAAGGTGAACTGATTAGTTTGTCTCTTGCTGAAAGCTAGCTGTTGACTCCTTGATGCATCTAAATAGTGTTGGGTGGGCGAACAACGTCCCATATTAGTAGCTGAAAAGATTAAGAGCCTACATATAAGGTACGACTTCAAAACAAATAAAGAGAGGAGGATAAAACTTGTTTGTTATGCCTAGTGTTGAACAATATCACACCACATTTAAGAGTATCTCCAGGCTGGTTTAGCCCAACAACTGGTATCAGAGTCCAGGTTCAACAGGACGAATATGATGATGCCTGAGTGATGGTGCGGTGCTTGATTTGTTTACTCTTACGAGCTTGGAGACACGCACACAAGAAGAAGTTAGTTGTCATAAATACTTTGATGATATGGGTGACATACATGAATCTCAGAAATTGACCTATGAATTGTGGTAATGGACCACGCGGAACTTAGTTCGAGAGGGAGATCGTTGGGTGTGCGAACAAAGTCCCACATTGGTAACTGAAAAGATTGGAAGCCTACATATAAGACATAGGTATCTCTTAATGGTCTGAGGCCTTTTGGGGAAGTCCGCGCTGGCTTGACATAAAGCGGATAATATCACACCATGTTAAGAGTATCTTCGGGATGGCTTAGCCCGAAGCGTGACACGTATGATGTAACTTTTTATCAAGAAAATAGAAATATATGCTGCTACACAAAGCATCTACTAATTGTAACTATAGACATTGCTTGTGCTCCTGGTCTGCTACTGCCTTAACTACAACAAAATGGTAAAAGAAAAAGATATGGTTCTCACTTCTGTATTTTGGTCTAAGGTGAAAAGAATATTCCATCTACTTGTTCTTCACTTGTTTGACAGTGGAAGAAGATAAGAGATTAATTCATTTGAAAAACTAATGAATTCATCACACTATCGGCCTTCTTCCATTGTGATTGTCAATTCAACTTTAGAGGAGCTGTGTGGCTTAGCTGATAAAGCCGGAGATGCATTAGAAACATATTTCCTTGATACAAAAGCTGGTTGATTAGGTTTTAAAATAGGCATACTTTCACTGGGAAGCATCGTTACTACATTTGACATAGTAGGACGATCACCTGGATCTTCTTGCACGCATAACAGTCCAACGTTTATGCACTTCATTGCTTCTTTCGGGTTGCATGATTCGAGCATTGAATGATCCAGCAAATGTAGTGCCCGTTCTTCTTTCCAGAAATTCCATGCCTGTGATATGATGATTCAGAACAATGAATATGAGGCCAACAGATTGGAACAAACTGCTGGTAGTATTTTTAGCTTCAGAATAGTAACTCACATAGCCTAAAAGGTTTGAAGCCTCTTTAGATTGATAAAACCCGGTGTTTCTCCTTCCAGTTACTATCTCCAGTATAACTACTCCTAAGCTGAATACATCTGACTTGATCGAGAATAACCCCTCCAATGCATATTCAGGAGACATATATCCACTAAATTAACCAAATAACGAATATACCACGAGTCAGCTGTACAATGCAACTAAGCAAGTTCATAATGGAATTATAAGAAACTAGCAATTCCTTCAGCATGGTGCATTGTGATGTGTAATACTTACTAAGTTCCGACCACTTTCTTGGTATTTGCTTCTGTAGTTTTTTCTTCAACAATCCTTGCCAAGCCAAAGTCTGATATTTTTGGGTTCATTTCTTGATCCAACAGAATGTTACTTGTTTTCAGATCTCTATGAATAATTCTCAGTCTCGAGTCTTCATGAAGATAGAGAAGCCCACGAGAAATTCCTGATATGATCTCAAATCCATTGCAATGACTTGCTAAGTGTTTGATCTTGTTAGGTAACCATGGGGAAATTTTATTAAGAAATCACCAGTGAACAAACATAAATAGATAGATTCAGATACTAACCGAATATGAAGGTGTCTAGAGGCATATACTCGTAAAGTAGAATCTGTTCATATCCTGTGATACAGTAGCCTAAAAGTCTGACTAGATTTCTATGTTGAAGTTTGGAAATCAATATGACTTCATTCCTGAATTCGTCAATGCCCTGTCTAGATTGACTTGATAACCTTTTTACAGCAATTTCTTGTCCACCTGAGAATATACCCTGGAAGAAAATTTTGATGTGGAAAGTAGGGTATTATGGAATTACTATATAAAGTATAACGTCGAAGTGAGAAAACCAACTCTAACCTTATAAACAGGACCAAATCCTCCTTGTCCAAGCTTATGTGCATCTGAGAAATTATCTATGGCTGCTAATAATTTTTTCCAAATGAAAGAATGGAACAGCGATATCTTGCTTATCATTTTCGTAAATAAAGTTTTGTGCTTCTCTTTCTGTCCAATGTGGCACTGGATTCCCTTCTGTGCTTTGTTGGTTTGCTAAGATGAGAAAACAAGAATGTGAGATGTCTCTCTTGATTTGATTCAAACAAAAAAAGGAAAACGGAAGGAGAAATTTTTCCAGTAGTGGTAAGACAATTATTCCAGAGAAAGCAACAACAGCACAATGTACCTTTTCTCTTTGCCATCTTTCTCCTATAATATATGTAACTAAAGCTGCATAAAGCTACAACTGCAAGGACTACCACAGCAGAAATGATAACTTTAAGCTTCATGGCCAATTGGCCTGATTTCGCAGCTGATGACATAAAAGAGGAAACTTGAGATTTATTCGAAGAATATTCAATTTGCATACAATTCCTGACTTACCTTCACCAGAGTGCTTGATCCAAGGCGTTAAGTCTGGTATAGATTACACTTCCACCCCCATCTTCTGGTGAGAGTTTCCACAATTCACCGTTCCAAATTGAACACACACTGGTATCATAAGCATAGGCATTACAGGAACAATCATTCAAGCAAATAGAATGGCATTCCTCAGCACTAGAAGCCGTAACAGTTTGAGAATGTTCAGGTAATGTCACCATGGAATTACTCAAAAAACCGCCCTTCGTTTTACCAGCACCACACTGCAAGGTTAACCTCCTTACACAACCACCGGAATGATCATTCAAGTCCCATTCTGCATCAGATCTAGGTGTGAAACCGGTCAAGCAATTACAAAAGGACGCGGACTCCTTATTGCAAATGCTAAAGGCACCACAACTAGCATAAACCTCGCAAGGTTGTCTTGGTTGAGTTGTAAAAAGTTGCCATTCCATCAAATTTTCCACCCAAATCAGATGCCTGATTTGCCCCGAGACATCTAGCGTTAATCTAATTTTGTGAGAATTGCTTACAGAATACATAAAATAGCTCTCATTTTCATTATCAACATAACTAAAATTGTATCTCTGAGAATTCAAACTCATTTCAGGCATCAAACTGAAATAACGCCCGTTCCAAGGTCCAGTAGCTGAGTACAATTCAGTCCTATTCCACTTTAAGAGGAACTGCCTATTGCTCTGATCCTCTGAATTCTTCCAAGAAATAATTTTTTTTTTTTGTAGTATTAGAACGCTTGTCATATTTCGTTTTAGCATTTGGCAACCATGTATCAGTCAGGTGATCAAAGCTTTGCCAAAGTGGAGGAGTTGAGTTTAATCCATCACTAAAAATCAAATTAGCATCATCAGAAAGAGTTGCTACTAGAGTACTTGAGCTGGTGGAGGTGAAATTTGTGGACCAAAACAAGCTTTTGGATTCAGTAATAAGCACTAAATTGCCATCTAAAACTGTCAACTCGATCGGCGGACATCATATGAGTAGACGAAAGTGGCTTCTCCCTGTTTGCTACCCAAACTACGGTTTGTGGAATTACGTTCCTGTACCATATACCAAGATAATATTTTTTCAACATCCTAGCTCAAAGTTTTCACCTTAAGAGATTATAGTTTGGTTTCCAAAAATGGAGTGATTTACGGAGATCATATCTATTCCAAGAGACTGGTGGATACTGAGATATAAACATAGAAGGATCACAAAATGAAGGACAAAAAAATTATGCTGCATTTGCATAGCTGCACCAAATTTCTACGTAGGATATTAATTAAGGTCATGACTGATCATATGTTAAGGTAAGACGTTTTCTTTATCTAAGTCAATAATTACACGCGGTTGGTAAGTAATTTATCTGGACTTGCCTAACAAATAGTAGTAATAATTACTTATCAAATAAGGCTACCATCACTCTTCTATAGTTGTATGTATGGACTGGTTTTTTCCTTAAGCACTGATATTTCTGGTCCCTCCACCCATATTCTGTAATATCACTGCTTAAGGAAAAAAACAAGGAAAGCGAATAAGTATTTTCTATTAATACTCTACACTAAGGGTCATTTGGTTCATAGATTAGTAATGCAGTGATTACCGCATAACTTAAACGGGTATTAACAATGCAAAGTTTATTAAGGCCACAAAACGAGGTATTAATCTATGAGATTTTTTTTGAATGAAAATTTGACGTGCTTTTAACTTATTAAGGACATTATTTTTGTAGTATGGTCAACCAGACGACCCAACAAAATTACCAATATTGACTTGATCAATTAGTGGCAAAAGAGCTGGCAACGGAAAGCGATGTTGGAAGGGGGACCTGTACTCTCTATGAACAGGGCGGCTCGACATAATATGGGCCTTAAAGTTTTTATTTTTTTTTACTCTTATAATTTATCGAAATCTAAAGAAGTTATAATTATCTTTAATTTCTGTTAATGTCTAGCCAGTTTGTTTAACCTCTCTTGTGTTATCATGTTGAACTTTATCGATTTAATTTTGAAATACTTTTTCAACCGATATAGAAATTGCTAATTGAATTAACCCATTTTACATGATTGAGTTTGCCAATCAGAGTATCCTTCTGCTTATACAGTTTCTCTTAGCACTTTTAGTTCTAAATATAAGTTGAAACAAATAATAATGTAGCTATAACTACTAGGTTTCAAGAGTCATTCAAAGTTAAGGACGAATTTTAATAGTAACTTATCAACGTAGCTTGAAAAATGTGTACAAAGGCAATCAAAGAATTAAGAAAAAAATATTCTAAACTAACATTGTAAGAAGATCGATTTAAGTTGGGATGAATTAAAGACAAAAAACAACTAATAATTATAATTTAAAATGTGTAAAACTTTTAGTTGTAACTATTTTAACCAAATAATTTAAAAATTCTATCAATAGTGCATAATTATTAAATATTATATATATTATTTATAGATTTTGGGACCCTAAATATTTTATGTTAGGCTCTCACTGAACTAGAGCTACACTTTGAATTAATGTTCTTTCATATTATCAAAAGTGAAACTACCAGCTATGTCCATCTAAAGTAGCTCATTATAAAAGTTGACCAATTCATAAAATATTACTAACATTATACAAATATTACTAATATTAGCCAATTAACTATTTGTAGCAAAAAAATTATCAAATTATTTGCTTTCTTTTGGGTGAGTGTTATTAGAATAGATTGGGTACATCTTACGGAGCTTGAATCTCAATTTTGGGATGGTTTGGTGAAGTTTTGAGGTGGTTTAAATTGAAAATTCAAAAAAAAAAAAGCGAAACATGAAAAAATTGATATGTGTATCACACTGTGTATCACATATGTATCACATTTGTATCAATTGTGTATCACATGTATATCCATGTATACTTGTGTATGAGCTACATGCGTGATACATGTTTCATACATGTGCCGCAAAAGAATTTTTTGAACTCGATTTAATTATGAATTTTGATACAAACCAGTCCAAATCACCTCCAATCTTCCTCAAATTTTGTATATTGACTAATCTATATATTTTTAATGAATTTCAACAATACCCATTGAAAAAATTCCTTTTTTGCTTAGATTTTTGGAATATTGTATTTTTTGTGTGGATATTTTATCACCTTATTTGCTACCTCATCCATGAAATTTCCTTTCCGTCTTGCATCTATTTGCTAATCGCGCTTAAAAGTATGGAAGGTGATTTCTTCATTTGATTCTTTGAGAGAAAGAACCTTATTTATTTGGTTTTCCAATTTTTATATGTGCTTTGCTAGTTTTGGTAAGTCTTTGACTAATGGCTAGAGGTTGATAAGTCGAGACTTATTTGAGATATTTGTGTAAGTTTCCCTTATCAAAATACCACAAACAATGTTATTGGCAGGGGCGGCTCTAAAGGCTTGGGCAGTGAGGCCGTCGCCTTAGGCCCCCAAAAATTTGAAGGCCCAAATTTATTTTAAACTATATAAATAATTAATATAAAGAAAAGTGTTACATTATATTTTTTTGTTATTTGATTGAGATTATTTTATATCAAAAAATTCACTAATTATGATAATCTTTTTTACTAATTAATTAGTATATTTGCTTCAGTCTTCAATTTTAATTTTATCTTTTTTATATAGAAATTAAGTTATATATATCGACAACATAATGAATTTCTTTTACAATATTCTCTCAAACTACATGAATACAAAAATATTCATGCACCATTTTTCTTTTAGTGTAATTCGAGATGTTATATTAGGTTATTTATAATTTATTTTAGATATTCAGAAATAAATGCTACCTAATAGAATAAACTATAATTATCGTTTAAATTGGTCATAAGGAGTAAATATTTTTGACACTGTTAATGCTAAAAACTTAAGCTATTACGTTATGCATGTTTATTTCTTTTTCTTGTTTGTGATGATAGCCAATTCAGAATTTGTGGACCTCAACACCTGATAGTCCGCCACTTTATTTTTTGTGCTCTTCTTCCTTCTTTTTTTCTTTGAAATTCGCTTATTTTTGTCTTAAATGATTAATTTACTGTTTAGAAAGTAATTTTTGTTGTTACTGTAAATATTTTATAAAATAAATTTAAGGGCCTCTCAATATGGTTTCGCCTTAGGGTCATGAGATCCATTAAGCTGCCCCTGGCTCTTGGCTCACCTTGTAGTAGTATTAGTTATGTATTTTTTTTATTCCTTGCCTCTTGTTTTTATGCGGTGTGTCATTATTATCAATAGGATTGACACTATTCTTGTAGTTTTATATCTCTGGATCTCTGTTATTACTCGTTGTACTATTTGCTTCCATTGTCTTATTCCCGTGTTGTTGCTATTGTTTCTCTATTACTTCATTTTTATTATTTTTGAGCTGAGAGTCTTTCAGAAACAACCTCTCTAACTTCTTAAGGTTGGAGTAAGGTCTGAATTTTTCGTTGTTGTTGTAATGCTCTTGGCTCAAGTTGCTGGAAAGATAAATATTACTGCACCATTGCATAGCTATATGCAATTAGTTTTCTGTTTTCTGTTGTTGTTTGCACTGTTGGCACTGTTGGTTATTTATGTTGCTTAGAATGTATTGTCGGGAACACCATCATTGGATTTAGAGGAAGGGGCCGGGGAAGAATTTGTTCTCTCTTTGATAAGAAAAAAGAAAAAAAAAATCTACAGTTTTATATTGATCAATTTGATTAAATAGACTTTCTTTTACAGGGGAGCATCGGAACAATGGTAAAGTTGTTTCTGTGTGATCTATAGATTATGGGTTCGAGCAATAAAATAAGCCAGCTTGCGTCAAGGTACATGGTAGGCTGTCTACATTACACCTCTTGGGCTGCCCTTTTTTATTCTTAAACATATTAAGGTGGGGAAACAACATTGTTGGGCCGAAGTGCAGGAATAATCACTTTTACTCCCGCTATTTAAAATATGTTCACAATTTACAATGTATTTAAAGATTAGTCAATTCACCCAAACTTTACGACTAAGTATCCTGGATTTGGAAATCCAGGACTTATTGTCCTGAATTTTTAAGCTGCTAATTTGAAACTCAGGACTAAGTGTCCTGAATTTCCGAACTAGTAATTTAAAATTTAGGACATAAGATTTGAACTTCTGGATACAATTTTTGAACTTTAGGACACAATGTGCTGAAGTTTGAACTTTGGGGTTTAAACTCTAGGACACCATGTCCTAAAGTTTGAGCGAAATTGGCTAATCTTTAAATACATTATAAATTATGGATATATTTTAAACAACATGCTTAAAAGTGGCTACCTGGTGCCATTTCCACACATTGTTGCTAGAGCCGTCAAAATGGGCTGGCCTCACGGGCCAGCCCAACCCAACTCGCTACTTGGGTAGGGTTGGATAGGGAATTTTTTAGCCCATTTAAATCTGAGGCTTATAAGCCCGACCCAAGTCAGCTCGCTGGCCCTTGAGGCTTGACTGAGGCTGGGCCTGGGCCGGCTTGTGGGCCAAAAATTAATTATATTCAAATTTAAATATTTAAAAAAAAGTAAAAACAAAAAAAGTTAACTATAATCCCCATTTTCCAACCTTAGATTGCTTATTTACCCTTCCATATCAACTAGAATTTATATTTTTGATATGCATGTAGTATGACAAGATTAGTTTTTCTTTTGCTTAATTAACAACGAACTAGAAAAGCTTTAAGTGGCCAGTAATATTTTTTTCAAAAAGAAAATATTATTTTAAGTGGCCAATGATTATATTATTAATTATTAGATTGCTCTTCAGTATAGAAAATGGTCAAGTTTTAATACCAAAAAGAAAATTGACAATACTAGAAAATTTCATGAATTTTAAAAAATTTAGGGACTATAATGATGAAATCGACAAATAATGTTAAACCTAAATTTAAAAACCTTAACATATAAACTTATTTAAGCAATTACTGAACCTAAGTAAAGTGAAAGAAAGTACAAAAAAATATTCATGTAACATTAAAAAAAGAAGAGCTAGAGATATAGAGAATTTACATTTCAATTACGAGATTCCTTGTCAAATATCAAGATTCTTGTAAACTCTAAATAAACGGAAGTCCTTCATATGATCAAGAGATTATACCCGCTTTTTGGGTCACGTTTTAACTTGTGCCCGCTTTACAAAAGAAGTTGCAAGCGTACCCACTTTTTCGCGTAACTTCAGCATACGAGGCTGAAGTAGCAAAGGCAATCACGCAAAACTTCTAGCATTCTAGTAGACGGGGCTGAAGTTTTTTTGTCCCAGATAAGATGCTGA